AGTGGAATGAAGTAAATACATGTGAAAAGCTCAGTCATTTCCACCCAGTGTTCATAAAAAAATGAACAACAATGGTAGATTTCGGGAGGAAAACAACTACTTCCCTGGCTAATGCCACGCAGGATATTGAATTACATCATCCCGAAATCTATGCATCGACTCTTTAAACGAATACTGATACAAGTGATTCTTTCCTGAATGCCTATTGATTTCGATTAAGCCAGGCCGCTAGACAACCACAGACCGGTTTCGAGCTCTTTGACTCTCATCAGTGCAGTGTAGTCTCCAGCCAGCAGTCCTAAGACCGCCGACTGAGCGAAGCCTAGCCAAACAAAAATCAAGTTGGCATTATATCCACCCCGAGGCGTCTTTCATCGATAAAATTAAAGTAACGCCATCTGAGTAGAACCGAGGAAAGAATCACTCCAAAACTGAAATTCCCATACGGGAGTGGCTGGCAGCCCGACTGGCGTGATGAGAACTCACATCATAAAATGAAAACAGGGCCTAATTCATAACAAATTTATAGAAGAGAGTCACGAGTAATCATAACTACTTAGAATTTCGATCAAAAACTAACATTTCGATCGAATTATTAAAAAGTCAGGACTATTCTCTTCTGTTAATTTCTATAAAAAAATCAATCAATCAAAGTTCAAAAGACCGAGATTGTCCATAAACTAGAGAAAATATCGACATTATGACCAAATTTACTATTCTCAAGTTTTTGATATTTATTTTTTCCGTTCGATCTCTTTCAATTCTTAGAATGAATGAAACTTATTTGGGACAGAAGGGCTGTTCGCATCAAACTTCAATACCGTTTTTATTTTGTTCCATAATAGATATCAGGATAAGAGGGACTCTTCCCTGGTCTGAATAAAATAAAAGAAAGATCCAATATATATATAAAAAAATTACAAAAAATCAATTCACACAAACCCAGTTGAAAATTGAGAGTTACCCAGCTAGCACACACACGTAAATTTCACGTAATATATTCGACACCAATTACGTCGAAATGACCAAATTATCGACGTGAAAGAGACGTAAATGTGACGTCAATATGTCACAGCGAGACGACGTCATTCATCGACATCGTAACGACGTCATTTAGTGTCGTCGTAACAACGTCAGCTAGCGACGTCCTCTACACGTCGAATAGTTACCAAGTAGGTCCAGGTTTTGACATCACCAAGAAACTGTGAAACTCTAAATCACTTTGATTCATCTGAATAAAACTAATAAGCATGAAATCCACTATATTCCATAGTATATAGACATAAACGAGGATGTCAAGTTTCAAAGGAATCTCAACCTAATAACCTCAAATTATTCTTGTATACCTACGATTTAAGGTATTTAATATTAATAGATTACCATTTTCAAATAACGACCTCACTACATCAAACACCTTCCATGTTTCATTTGTAGATTTCGCTTTCTCAATTATTGACCTGTTGAAAAAGTCTTGCTGTTTGAAAGGCGGCCATTACACTTCGCAGCCTTACGAGGCGTCATGGCGTCAACTACTTCTACTGAACGAGAGCAATGGCTTTCCTCGGAATATTGTATTCCCACGAACATTCCTATTGCATGGAATTGATGAAATAACCAGCGAACTGCAATATATTTTGCTGCACCCCACTTTTCCATAGTATCCAAGTTTTCCATGACCCAAAATCACGAATACGCCATTACAACATTCGATGAACTGGATCACGCATGCGCATGATTACGACAAACTGTGCTACGATCGACGATGTATGATAGGGGTAGCGGTGGCATTGTGCGAAACGAAGACACACGAAGCCACGGAGCACGGATTGACCAATCATAAGCATCTGTATGTCTTAACGTGGCGCGCCAATATAAAACATGAAGGCACCTGGTATAACCGTATTTGTATACATATAATAAATTCTTGAATCTTCCGTATTTGTTACCAAATTATCTCTTTCAGGGTGTTTTTTATTAATATTGGTTCTACATATTTCACCACTTAGTTTTATCCATGTCGGGTATACGTGAATCCTCTTTACTAAGGTAGGTACCTATTTTATACACTACACTGTTTTACCACTAACCAAACCGATTTTTAAACGCCTCGACACGTGTTTCGCTAACTATGTTAGCATCTTCAGGAGAAGATTAAAAGTTATTGAGTTATTGATTATCAAAGTTTACCAAAATACCGAATCTTCCATTCAAACTGTCTATTCATATTTTTTTTGTATTGAGATTGAACGATTTCAAATTCATAATGAACAATACCTTGACATTTCCATGGAGCTTGAATAATATATAAACGGTAAATTTTGATCATCAATAACTCAACTATTTCTCATTCAAACATGCAACTCATATATATTTTAAATCAGAAAGAAAGGCTCTATCGACATGTCGTAAGTTATATGGGGAATTCCATTGAGAAAATCAAAGTTGATATTCTTTCTAGAAAAAACGAGTGACTCTGTATATGAAACAACTTCATAAAATAAAAGTTTGGGTCGTTTCACACATTTTTTTTATTCAACATTTTTCCATATCTCTGAAAACGAAAGAGTTAAGGGGGATTCCATTTTAAGAGGCGCACCCTGTACTTAGTAATTTCACAAAATACCCTGTATCTTCGTTATGGATGCCCAGAAAAATCTTTCATATATATACATCAACTTGTCTTGATTTCTCCTATTCACCATTTGGATATGTGAGTTTTCTCATGAATCACCCTGTATATCTAAACAGCATTTTTGCGGACATATAATTATTTACTCGAAAACGGTGAGTAGAAGATAAAATAGTGTATCTTGGTTTTTCTTTCAAATCATTATATTCTACCTATGGGAGCCATTGAACGCACCAAAATTCGCAGTTAATTTGAATTCGCCATTTTTTCGAGGCTGAAAATGGAAAGAATGATTCGGAATGAGGTAATTTTTTGCATATGAAGGTTCAAAAGCATTAGGAACAATAAAAGGTATAAAGTTAGTGCTTTTGCAAAAAAATACTACTTAGGTAATATGATTTCATAATAATCGACCCCTTTCAATTTCAATAAAGAAGCACGGCACTGTTCTGAAGGATGTTTGTCTCTGAAACAATGATCATATTGATGGTTATTCATACCAGTTCAACTTTGGTAGAAATTGCACAACTAATATCTAAGATATAGAGGGGGGACATTTAAAGTGATATACACTGTATATACCCAATTTTGCACAATTTGTACGACCCAGATAAAATGATTTCGATGTAGACAAAATGAAAGGAATCAAAATTACTGTTTTTTCATTGCAATTATTCATGAACGAACAATATATGAGTGATCAAAACTCATCACAAGCATGCCTGTTCTCTAGAAAAAACGATCTCACTGTGCCCAACCATACCTTTGTAGACATCCATTTCGATGCTTGGTATTACTATCAGCAATAACCTTTCTTGGGAAAATCACGTGGGATCTTTTGCTAAAAGTGCGTCCCAAAAACTTGGTTTTCTGTTTCGTGCCAGGAGCAATTTCACTTTCAGTCAGCTGTTGATGATCTATAAGGCACAGATCCGACCTGTCCTGGAATACTGTTCCCATATTTGGGGTGCAGCACCCAAACATTCCCTGAAACTGTTGGATTCTGTCCAAAAAAGGGCAATTCGTCACGTGGGTGATGCCTCGCTCACAAACTCACTCACTTCTTTGGAACACCGTAGAAAAGTTGGCGATCTGGCTCTATTTTATAGATATTTGCATGGACGATGCTCTTCTGAAATATCAACAATTGTTCCTCCCTTGGCTGTCCCCGCGAGATTAACCCGTCGAGTTGAGATTTCGCACCCCTTCGTGGTCACTTTTGGAGACCTGCAGAACATCTCTTTCCAAAGACTCGTTTATCCAACGAACAGCGATGAGGCTCTGGAACACATTGCCAAGGGAGGTGTTCCTCGAGGCAAATAACCTCCAGAAATTTAAGAAGAACACCAATTCCTACCTTATTTCCCTCGGTTCTCTCGATGTTCTCTGAACATTACAGGATATCCCTTTTCGTGGGAACCAGAACATAAAAAAACACTGTTGTACCACTAGCCAAACCGATTTACGCTTCAACATGTGTTTTGCCAACAATGTTAGCATCTTCAGGAGAAGATTGAAAATCAGTTTTTATTTTACGTCTCGACACGTGTTTCTCTAACAGTATTAGCATCTTCAGGAGAAGATTAAAAATCAGTTTCAATCTTCCCCTGAAGATGCTAACATAATTAGCGAAACACGTGTCGATCTAGGCGTAAAATAATCGGTATTATCGTGCAAAACGTTCCACACGTCGATATGATCGAAACTATCAATGCATACAAAAAAAAAAAAACATATATCGAATATATCGAAATTACTGGCAACATTCCAATGAAATTTTGTATGAATATAACTTTTTTCAGGTTAGTTTTTTTTAGTGAAAATTTTTTGTTACCTACTTCGAATGTTATTATATTTTATACCAAAAAACTTGACACTGTGTAACTTTTTCGGAATATTTTGATTTGAAAATTATGAAGAAACTGCTGCTAGTATAAAGTATATGATTGAAAACCAATGAAGGAACAATAACATTATCGTAGTGCCAAAATTATTAATTAAACAAAGAAACACAATCTTGAGATCGACTAAAATTTATTAGAATGGCAAACATGGACCACACTGTACTTACATGCATAACTTTATTTTTGCAATAGATTCTTCAGGCATTAACTTCTCCAATATTTATTTACACAATCAAAATATACATTGGACTTTAATTTTAATCTTATTATAAAAGGTTCTTTTGTAGTCTTTTCATTGTTTCCTTGATTTTTATGTGTACCATGTGCCGTGATTAGAAAACAAATATGGTGATAAAAATTCTGCAATCAGTGTTCGGAAGCCACTCTTAGTGCATTGTGTGATGAAAATTCGATCTGATTGACTATTAGGGCTAGGTGGATTTTGAACTTTTTCAAAATTTCGAAAAATGGATCACAGTGAGAAGGTGATTAGGAAAGTCCATCCCAGAGAAAAGGCGAATATTTTCTCATTATTCACATTCATGTAAGTAATTGCGTAGCAAATCGTATTTTTCTTATGTTCTGGTACCCACGAAAAGGGATACCCTGTAATGTTCAGACAACATCGTGAGAACCAAGGGAAATGAGGTAGGAACTGGTGTTCTTCTTGAATTTCTAGAGGTTATATGCCTCGGGGAACACTTCCCATGGCAATGTGTTCCAGAGCCTCGCTGTTCGTTGGATGAACGAGTCTTTGGAAAGAGATGTTCTGCAGGTGTCCAAAGTGACCACGAAGAGATGCGAAGCCTCAACTCGACGGGTTAATCTCGCGGGGACTGCCAAGGGAGGAACATTTGTTGATATTTTAGAAGAGCATCGTCCATGAAAATATCTAAAAAATAGAGCCAGATCGCCAACTTTTCTACAGAGTTCGAGAGAAGTGAGTGAGTTTGTGAGCGAGGCATCACCCACGAGACGAATATCCCTTTTTTGGACAGAACCCAACAGTTTCAGGGTGTTTGGGTGATGCACTCCAAATATGGGAACAGTATTCCAGGACAGGTCGGATCTGTGCCTTATAGATCATAAGCAGCTGACTGGAAGTGAAATAGCTCCTGGCCTGAAACAGAAAACCAAGTATTTGGGATGCACTTTTAGCAATTGATCTCACGTGATTTTCCCAAGAGAGGTTATTGCTGATTGCTTATTATTTCGGGAGGATGTAATTAAATGTTCTGCGTGGCATTAGCCAGGCAAGAAAATGTTTTTCTCCCGAAATTTACTATTGTTGTTCACTTTATGAACCTGAGAAGCTTATGTTGGGCACAGTGAGATCGGCTTTTCTAGAGAAAAGTGTTTTGTCAGCATTTAAATCTACCAAGCTATTGATATCCCCATTCGAGAATTGTTGCCAAGTCCATATTTATGTTGTCAACATTTCTCCCTCATTCGTTTATGATTTGCCTGGCTGGTATTGAAGCCCTGGAAGAGAAGGCGGTATGGAGGGTACTATCATATGCGAAGCTGTGTACTGGACATGAAGTTGCTTCCAAAAAATCGTTGATATGAAGTAGAAATAGTGTTGGTGCTAGAATTGATCCTTGCGGAACACCAGCATTTATGATAAGAGTGTCAGATGAAACTCCGTCGACCACTACATGGAGAGACCTGTTTGAGAGAAAACTAGCTGGCAGAGAACATAGCAGGGGAGGCAAGCCATAAGATGGAAGCTTGGCGAGAAATCCGTGTGGTGCCAGACTCGATCGAATGCCTTGGAGATATCAAGTGCCACGGCTCAGGCTGCACCATATTTTTCAATAGATTTCTGCCATTTATGTAAGACGTGAGTGAGCAGGTCACCAGTTGATTTCTGATAGCGGAAGCCATATTGATTATCGTTGATAATACTTGAATGTTCCAGGTATTTCATAAGCTCGATGTTGATCTTTGAAATAATAGATAGCAGTGTGATCGGTCTGTAGTTGCTAGGTAGTGTCTTTTTGCCTTTTATAGGAAGTGGTTGTACTCTTGCAATCTTCCAGTTGGACGGGAATATCCCCAATTTGTAATAGTAGTTGATGAACTTGCAGAGAACAGATGTTAGTTCGGGAGCACATTTATTGAGAACAATCGAAGGGATTCCGTCGGAGCCACAAGCTTTGTTGGTATTGTGACCCAATAAAATCTTCCTCATAGTACGTTGGCGAAAGGTGATCTCGGGCATATTACTGTCAATTGGCGTTATATTTGGCGAGGCATTCGATCGAGTCTGGCACCACGGATTCCTCGCCAAGCTTCCATCTTATGGCTTTTGTCCCCAGCTATGTTCTCTGCTATCTAGTTTTCTCTTAAACAGGTCTCTCCATGTAGTGGTCGACTTAGTTTCATCTGACTTTGCTATCATAAATGCTGGTGTTCCGCAAGGATCAATTCTAGCACCACCACTATTTCTACTCCATATCAACGATTTGTTGGAAGCAACTTCATGTTCAGTACACAGCTTAGCGGATGATGGTACCCTCCATACCGTCTTCCCTTCCAGGGCTCCAATACCAGCCAGGCCAATCAGAAACGAACGAGGAAGAAATGTTGACAGCATAAATATGGACTTGGCAACAATTCTCGAATGGGGGACCCAATAACTTGGTAGATTTCAATGCAAAAAAAACCAAGCATGCCTTTTCTCTAGAGAAGCCAAACTCACTGTGCCCAACATGAGCTTGTCAGAAGTAACCATACCTTTGAAGACATCCAGTTCGATGCTTGGTATTACTATCAGCAATAACCTTCCTTGGAAAAATCACGTGAGATCAATTGCCAAAAGTGCATCCCAAAAACTTGGTTTTCTGTTTCGGGCCAGGAGTTAGTTCACTTCCAGTCAGCTGCTTATGATCTATAAGGCACATATTCGACCTGTACTGGAATACTGTTTCCATATTTGGAGTGCAGCACCCAAACATACCATAAAACTGTTGAATTCTGTCCAGAAAAGGGCAATTCGTCTCGTGGGTGATGCCTCGCTCACAAACTCACTCACTTCTCTGGAACACCGTAGAAAAGTTGGCGATCTGGCTCTATTCTATAGATATTTTCATGGACGATGATCTTCTAGAATATCAACAATTGTTCCTCCCTTGGCAGTCCCTGCGAGATTAACCCGTCGAGTTGAGGTTTCGCACCCCTTCGCGGTCACATTGGAGACCTGCAGAACATCTCTTCTCAAAGACTCGTTCATCCAACGAACAGCCAGGCTCTGGAACACATTGCCAAGGGAGGTGTTCTCCGAGGCATATAACCTCCAGAAATTCAAAAAGAACACCAATTCCTACCTTATTTCCCTTGGTTCTCACGATGTTCTCTGAACATTACAGAATATCCGTTTTCGTGGGAATCAGAACATAAAAAGAAATAAATATATATATAAGTTCGGCAAGCCAAGGTTAATTTATCTCATGGTACAAGTATTTCACCTGATAAAGCTACTGTATTAGCGAAACATGTCGTGTGATTAAGAATTCCGTGTAAATTTCATCGTTTGTGAAGTTTTTACATGTGCTATGGATTTCCATCAAGTACCTAACGGCCAAGTCAATTCAAAAATATTTATATGTATTTTTAATACTTGTAATACACGTGGTAGGTCTGTGTCCCAGCAATTTTGGTACACCCTGTATATCATGTTGTTGGTTTAGCAATCTCTTTCATTCCCAGATACACAAGGAAACTATTCAAAGCGGGATTCAGAAAGGATCTGGAGGATGACGATTTATACGAGGTGATCAAACAATGCCAGTCCAAGAAATGCGCGGACAAACTCGAGTCCGCTTTCAAAGCCGAAGGCAATAAGAATTCCAATACTTCGGTGTTCAGAGTGATATGGAATTGTTATGGCATCAGATATTTGATCTTGGGGCTCTGTAATTTGTCTTGGAAACTGATTCATAGGTGAGTTTGACAACAAACTATTAATTTCAGTTCCGTGTGAAATGTCTGAACAAAACGATACCATGCACGGATTCCAGAAACTACACGTCCCTTCAAGAAATTCACCAGCAGCCTCAATGTCCCTTAGGTCTCATTCTACTTTGAATAGAATAGTTCTCATTATCGGATACATTCTGCCTATTCATTTACAAGGGATTTCATTTCTATTTCTGTAACGAAAATCAATTTTCATTTGGTCTACAGACGTTTCAATTGTAAATAGTCATTCAAATGTATTTTTATGGCCCATGCAGTACATCATTGTATGATTTATGTAATTTGTATAATCATATACGTATTAATAAACAATACGGATCATAACGGGTGCCAGGATGAAGCCAAAAATATGAAACAAATGAATATCCATAAGGATTTGGTGGCATGATACGCATGCGCCATGCGCTATTATAGTAGTCATCAAAGACATGCGTTTCGGTGGACAATGACGTTTACTAGCCTTTCAATCAAAGCAGTATGTGTCTGATCGTTTCAAAACTTTTCCTTATGGATAGTCATTTGTCTTCAAAAATCGGCTTCATGTTTCGCTATGGAAACAGATAGAGATTATCCGTAGTGATTATTAATACGTATATGTTTGTAATATGGTGAGCAGTGAAATTCAAGAGTGGAATAAGATAACAATTCCGGTTTCAAATTCGAAGTGAAAATGTTGTTTCTATTCGAAATTAGAATGCGAATTAACTCAATTCACATTTGCACACATGTCATTGAAATGAAAATCATTTGAAATATCACATTGATCGCAATGTCCAATAAGAATGTAAAATAGGCGTATTTTGTCTACTCACTTATGAAATCCGATATGAGATCTCAAATAGCATTCAAAGGAGTATAATTTGAAACAATGGCATATTGAAATATCAATTTTCCTTCCACATGAATATTTTTGTGACTTCGATTTGCATTGTATCTAAAAACACTAGCCCTTCTAGTTCAGTGAAGTTGAATATGAAAAGGGGTTCGTGCTTGCAAAAGGTCCGCTCGTTCTAAATTTTTTATATGTTGTTAGGACCTAAACCAATATTGAAAAACCAGATTTGGAATTTCCAAAGTGCTGTGCGAGCGGCGGTATACCCAAAAAACAATTAAATTTTCGGATTTTTTTTCAGTTTTCGCTCAATATCTTAGAGAAGGAATGGTTTGACCGGTATAGTCACCATCTATACTTTTGAATTGAACTAAATTCGCTATAATTAGAGGCTAAGATGAGGTGTTGGTTCCCAAGATACAGTTCTTTGAGAATAGGCATTTTCGAAAATGTGAATTTTCTTCAAAATGCTCACATATTTTGTGAGTTATCTTCTATAACGTGAAATATCATATGTAATGAAGTTGGAGAGAATTCAATAAGATTTGTTTTGAGACCAAATTGGTATCTGTAAGCCCAGCGATTCTCTCGAAAACGGTAGATATCCAAGAACAGTCATAAGTGGGTTTTAGGGAATAATACGAATGAACTGTTCTTACGTCTTTTTATTTTCTATTCATCAAACAGTTACAATTTATTTACTAAGACATTTTTTTGCGAAATTTTAAAGTTAAGCTGGATATCGTTGCAACAAACATAAAGTTTGCGATTCCCTAAAAAAATTAAAATCTAAGTTAATTGCACAAATATGCTTGAATTTGAACAAAGCTATGCCCAACTGATTTTGTTATGATCAAGTTATGGAAGTTTTCAGGGTGAATATAAAAAAAATTACAGATTGGGAAATTTTTCGCGAACAAAATTGAAAAACAAAAAAATGTCTCAGGAGGCCATGTTTTGGTATTTAGGCATAACTTTCAATTGTAAACAACTTTTCCCGATAACATTTTGCTCAATTTTCTGAAATAAGGGTACTTTCCTCTTGAGAAATTTTTAAATTTGTTGACCTACCCTATATGCTGTGTGACTTGCAACCATTCTTAGTGCACCTAAAATGATTAACATGCACCAACTTTTGGCACTATCAGTATTTTGGTTGTGCAATTCATCAAAAAGATTCCCATATGTTGCACACTTAAATGACCACACTGTATATAAGATCCATTGGTAGGCTTTGGTTCGAGAACGTTCTCGAATGATCTTCCGTCTCTTTCTTTTTGTTCTAGAAGCTTCTTAGAACAATACCTCTCTCTCTAATTGTTCCATCGATTGTTTCCAGAACATTCCAGAATCTTCTGACACGTTATTTGTCACCGCGGCATATATTGAGTGTTCGGAAATATGCTGGTGCATGTAGGAATCATTGAGAGGTTGTAGAACAATCTGGGATGCGTGTTACAGGATGATCGTTGTACTCCTGCCTTCCTGCTGATGTTCCTAGAGCCCCTCTAAGGGGAATATCATTACAATATTAACCATTGATTTTGAAAGTACAGGGATGCGGATTCCACTTCTTAAACCCAATGTTGTCCAAATATCGTCCATCCTTCTCATAGCACTCCTTCAATGATTCTCTTGAATGTTTGAATACCCGCTGACACATATTCCTATTTCAATAGGAATTTTATTGTTAGTTGCCTGTCAAATGTTGTCTCCTAACTTCTCCGTAGTGGCTGGAGGATCGGAGTAGACGATGCTCTATATTTCCACAAAAAAATCGAGGGGCGTAAGATCTGGCGATTTTGTCGGAAAAGTGGTATCCCCAATTTTCGAAAAACTCGCCGTGCTGTAACATAGGCATCGTTAGATTTAAAAAATGCCATGTTCTCTGGCAATCCATACGGAGTCGCCGCAATTTACCAGTGCTACTTCCCTCACAACTGTCAGGACGGTTGTACAGGGCATATGCGAAAAGGGAAACTCACCCTGTATTTATTTCAGGAATAACGCCATTACCAAACGTTGTTTTATATATACCTACACACTAAAATGCTTGCACAAACATCATGGTACCTACTTGAGGGACAAATTACATCAACGTAAACATCAAATTTGAAACTAATTTAAAACATGTAGTTATTGTGTCAGGTAGTCAAATCATGACTTTCTTATTATCTTTGATGGCCCGGACTTGGGCTCGCACGAAGATGGTGTCACGATGGCTGTGATGAATGCTCGGAGAGGCGCCCAATCGGTAGTCGGGTCATCTGCATTATCCGAAGCCTGCCTTTCTGCACGAACAGCTCCCAAGACACCCTTTCTTGCATTTACATGAGATCTTTCGCAGAAGAGCAAGAGGTGCGGGATCCATGGTGGTGGAGATGGGGGTGAGTCCCTGAGAAGACATCTTCCACCCCCAATCTGTAGGACTCAAGTTTACTCCCCGCCACTTCTGCACTTGGAGGTAGCACCTTGCTGCATGGTGGCCTGCGGCATCTTCCGTCGGTGGCAATCGAGCGAGGTTTATGCTCGTTGAAGTAACAAACGTCTTATACCTCAGGAAATCCAAAGTATTCTTCGCGATATCACCCTCATATAAACGTTTAATGCCTGCTTCTCTCACGGCTTGTGGGATAGAGTTTTGCCGAAGAAAGACTCCACATGCTCAGCAAGTTGTTCACTCTTGTTCAGGAGTCTTCCCTTGGCCAAACGGCGCTGAGGTCTTATCGCACCCGATGAATGCGTGGGTGAAAAGTACCGTTCCTGGTGGTTGTAGGAGTTTGTATGGAGAAATGACAGCAACCAGCTTCGCTCTTCGTGCTCTTCTGAAGGTAGACTGTTTTTGGCTATCAGCCGTTTTTGACAGAACCGCTAGACCTACAGATACCAATTTAGTATCAAATAAAAGCTAATTAAATTTACTACAACTTCATTCTTTATAATATTTGACGTGGGACGCGTATTTTAAAAGAAAATTCACAGAATAGGTGACCATTTCGAAGAAATTCCACTTTTCCGAAAAAATTGCCCATCTTCGAAAAATAGTATCTTGGGAACCAATAGCTGTATTGAGCTCGCCTTGGCCTCGAATTGTAGCAAATTTAGTTATTTTCAAAAGTTTATGGAGTGACTATATATAGCGGTCAAACCCTTTCTCCTCTGAGATATTGAGCGAAAACTGAAATAAGTCCGAAAATTTCATGTTTTTTTCGGTAACCGTCGCACAGCACTTTGGAAATTGCAAATCTGGTTTTTCAATATTGGTTTAGGTCCTGACAACATATTGAAAATTCAGAATGACCGGACCTTTTGCAAGCACGAATGTACATCTTGATTGGACTATTCACATGGCATGAAAATGCAAGTAACAGAATAAATCTAGTGTCATGGAAAACCAGAGGTGCCATTTCTAGGACAGGGGAAGAAATGTTTTGCTAATGGCGACGCAAGATGGCGCTATTGTGTTATCCCTTGCTATTTCATTACTCTGTTACACGAATGGCTCCTGGTACAAAAATGCAACAAGAATAGAAATGCCATAATAATTGAAAGACAGCTCAATTCGAACTCATTTTCTTTGAAAATTGCTGTGGCATTATTGATCACTTTCGGACCTCAAAATCGACCGAACAAATCTGAAAAAAATATGAAATCGAATGGTAGTTGAGAGATGATATTATTAGAAGAATTAAATAAATGTGTCAAATTGCCTATTACAAAATACTATTTATTACAGTTTGTTGGAACCCAACGCAGTTTCTAAACTGGTGGGATACTTCAAGCCCGGACAAACGCAAATGACTTTATACGACGCCCTGTATTATGCCGGCATCATGGTCGGTCTCAAAGCTATGCACGGTTTCTACTACCATAACTACAGAGTGTACCTGAATCAACTGGCCATACAGATACGCACATCCTTTTGTTCGCTTATATACAGGAAGACACTCAAATTGAGTCCCAAAGCTTTGGGTGAAACGAATTTGGGTGAGTCACACAAAATTTGGAGGAGTCAAACAAACGTTTGTGTCACAAAATTGAGTGAGTTAAATAAAAATTTGGGTGTCAAATATGAAGAAATTGGGTGTCAAATGAAAATTTGGCTGACTCAAAAAATTGGGTGAGTCAGATAAAAATGTGAGTGAGTAAAATAACTTTGGATGAGTTGAACAAAAATTCGGATGAGTCAAAGGAATTGGATGATGAATGTATGCTTGAATTTCGTCACAATGTTAGGTAACACTGTGCAGATTTTGTTGGGAATAAAATCAGCCGAATACGTACATCGAATCCTTCAAGAATGTCCACGAATCATATTATTTCATTTTTTCGTTTAATTCAACAAAATAGTGTCTATGAACTTTTATGTCACAAGCTCTCATACTTTCATATTTCAAAATAAATGATATTGCATCAAATTATAGAATACATTTTCGTTTTGTCGTTTACTTTGACATAATGGTGTCTATGAACTTTTATGTCACAACCTCCCATACTTTCATATTACAAAATAAATGATATTGCATCAAATTATAGAATACATTTTCACTACTCATCCTACCTGCCTTTTCACACCATACCACGTAGGGAGATAATAAGAAGATTTAGGTATAGGAAACTACCTATCGTCGCGGTCGTGCTGTGTAATAAAGATAGATATACAGGGTGTTTCGAAATTCGACCGACAACGCTTCACAGGTGATAGCCCTCGTGATTTCATAATCACTGAGATAGGGACATGCGGTCTTTAAGTGTTCAGTTCACGAGATACGTTGAATTTAAGAAATTAAAATAGTTTTTTCGTGATATCTCAAGAAAGATTTTGTTATCGCTTGGAGCGCACGAAAGGGAATCCCTATAATGTTCAATATGAATATAATGCATTCAAATTCGGTATACGGTTTCATCCTTCAATGGTTCATTTTTTCATCAGAAAGATATTCCGAGAATATTTTCCAGAGGTGCGCTACAGGGGGTTGTGATAACTTTTCCTCTCATATTTTCTACGCCACTGATGAAATTTCAATTATTATTCCCAATTTCTCGAATTGATTGTTCAATTATGTTGAAAAAATGCATCACTTTCAACTGAGCTAAGATGAACAATTATCGAAATATTTGACCCAAGTTTGCATAGTTATTTTTCATCTTCCTCAGTAGTAGAAAATTACAAAAATGTTTGTTTTCCCTTTATTCGTGGAATAACTATTTCTGTTCAGCTATAGAATGAGATCTGAATAGTATCTAATCTACTCAACACCAGAAAAATATTTCTGCAATTTTCTACTACTGAAAATGATGAAATATTACTATGCAATCTTCTATTTTGGGTCGAATATCTCGAAAACTGTTTATTCCAGCTCAGTTGAAGGTGATTCATTATCTGAATAAAATTGAACAATGGATTCGAGGAATTGGAAATAATCGAAATTTATTCAGTGGCGTAGCAAATATGGAAGGAAAAGTTGCCACAACCCCCTGTAGGACACCACTGGATAAAATGTCCGGAATGGCTTGATGGTCAAAAAATGACCCATTCAGAGATGAAACCATATACCGAAGTTGAATGCATTATAATCAATTATTCTAGAGATATTGCGAAACAACTATTTTTATTTCTCAACTTCAACGCCCTGTATCTCGAGAACTGAACACTTGAGTATGTCTCTATCTCAGTGATCATGAAATCACGAGGGGTATCACCTGTCAAGCGTTGTCGGTCGAATTTCGCATCACCCTGTAGTAGTCCGTGGGCATAAAGCAGATATTTCGATGAATTCATCACACGAGTCGTTACGATTTATTTGGACAGCAGTGTACATTTTACCTAGATTGAATCAGTGTCGGCTTGTGCTCCTTCTACAAAAAAAAACTGACGACACTTATACAGGGTGTTTCAAAAAACCTAACACCCTTGATAGGGTAGGTAGAACATTGCAAAATAAGTTGGGTTTGCTCAGTGAAAAAATGGTGTAACGGCATCTGTTTTCAAGATATAAGGTGTTGAAATAGTTATTTTTGTATCTAGAGCGCAAAATGCTACTTTGCTGATCGAGATCTGATTTTTTTAACGAGGCGTAGCCGAGTTAAAAAAATAGTCGAGATGACCAAAGTATTTCGCGCTCGAGTTGCAAACAACATTTTTTCTACAAACCTCAAAATATTTAGTTCTAAAGTAAAAATATGCTTAGTTTGATATAAAAAATAGTGTTGAACTGGCTCGAAAGGCCTCCCTCTATCCTCCCTAGGTACGCACGATGTTCCACGAACACAATAGGAATTTCCTTTCGTGGGCTCCAAGAGATAAAACGAAGTTATTGTTGAACATTCAGAAATAAATGATTTCGTGGATGTTTGCCCGATTGAGGACTATAAAGTTGAAATATAAATATCACATATATTTTACATAACAATAATGCGCGAAGTAGGTACTTCGCGCACTGTTTTACTTCGCGCGTAAATTCAGAAAATGGAATAATATACGGGGTGTTCTATTCAAAAAATATATTGAAGATGGCGCTCAGCCGCCATTTTGAAACTTTTAGCTTTGATTTTCTCATGAAGAAGTTATTTTTCGTCTCCTATTGAAGCCATCCGAATTTAGTTTCGATATACCAGAGGTGGTTCAAGAATTAGTAGGGGGGTAACGGACTTTAGACGGGCACTGTATACAATGCAATAGTTAATATTTTATGATTTGATTGACAGGTAACATCGTAACAGTCATCACGAAGGATGTTCTTCAATTCGAACACTCTATTTGGTTATTCAACGATTTATGGACGGCCGTGGTGCAATTGATAGTCATTTGTTATTTTATCTATGACAGAATTGGACCTGCCAGTATAGTGGGAATACTTTTATTGATTGCTCTTTTGCCAGCCCAAAGTAAGTAGATTATGTGAATTGAAACAACCCAGGCAACCAGATGACGAATGATCACGTCACTGTGACATCCCTAATTGGTGATATTTTGTCAGAGACGTCACACACCAATATATGACGTCACTATGACGTACTTTCTATGACGTGATAATCACGTCATCGTTTCGACGTCGAGTGAACGTCACTTAGATGGGTAAAAGAAGACGACAGTTTCATGACGTTGCAAGGACGTCCTGTCGACGTCCATTTTTCCCAGACTTTCTCTGAACCATGGATACTTATATATTATCATGTGAAAGAGAAGTATAACTCATGAAAGCAAATCAACATGCAATTTTCATTGGAATTATTAATATACCCGAAAAGTAGAAGGAAACGTTTTTCTAAAAAACTTTGACACACTGCTGTATATCTCGGAAACCAACAAGCTATGTATATATACAAATGATTGTTAAGGTATACCTATATTGAAACCGTTACTCTTATGACGTTGCAGTGACGTATCTATGACGTCTAAAAATCACGTCGGTGTGACGTACCAATTTGGTGAGCTTCGTCATTCAGAAATTTTTTCAATAATTCGCTATTTAGATTTTCGTTGAGTGACAAAAAATGCATCAATATACATTATTCAACAAAGTGAAGCCAAATTCGCCAACATTCTTTTCATTGCTATCGAACTATTCTTTGTTTGTTTACATCTCGCCGACACAAACTACATAATTTTCGATACAAATACGAGTAACTGATTGCATTCTGATGGAGATGCGTACTGAAGGATAGCGCTGCTGAATAGGCGATTGAATGAACATGACACAGGAGGGACCCACCAAACAGACTCAACAATGCATAATCAATATTATATAATGTCATCAAGAGGCCAGTGGTGTTTATCACACCATGTTAAAGGAATCTTTTTAACGTTTCATCGCCAAATTTAATCGTCATTTTGACGTCATTATGACGTCAGTCGGACGTCACAGTTTGGTGAGCGAATGAGGTCAATACGACGTGAGTAATATGACGTCATTGAGCTGTGATCTATTCACGTCATTATCACGTCATGCGACGTCAACTACTGACGTCACCTTGGTCATTCAAGTGACGTGAAAAAGACGTCACTGGAACGTTATCTGGTTGCCTGGGAATGAAACTTGATTGTTATTATTGACCGTACAGTTATTATCCCAAGATGAAACTATCTGAGTTAGCTAGTGTTTGCACTTCTGTTACTAATAAACCGTTTCACCCTGAATTCTATGGAAAATTATTGAAAATTACGAAAAATTATGTGAACTCATTCGAAACTACGAAGCGATTTTGTGGCAACACCGCTATGCAGTGACTATTCGAGTATTGCCGGAGCTGTCAAATTGCATAGTTGCAAAATCTCTTCAATGATTGATAGAAGTCCATATTTCTCACAGTGGAGTGCATGTTTTCAAAGGAAGGAATGCTCGAAGTCATCTCCATAAAATTCAATGGTGTTGCTACACAATCATAAGGGAAATATTTCGGTCTAATAAAAGACCATCTTCAGCATAATTGAAAGTTCTACAATACAAAAAGGTTGATGTGGAAGGATTACATAATTTGTGCTTGACTTACTTGGAGTTTGATGATACTAGTTGTGGAATTTTGTCGTCAATGCCCGTAGGTGAAATATCAAATTATGAATGAGTATTGGGCATTTTATATCCCCAAAAGAATGTGTCCATATCTTATTGCAATGGAGCCATATACATTTTTCACACTACGTGGATACCCGGTATATTGAAAAGATACCCATACAGTTATTTATCTAAACAGGGTGACAATCTTGATAACGAGCAGCACTTATAATATTTCTCTAACTGATGACACTATGGAAATTTGGCGAAATACTTCAAATAACATATCAACTTTTGAGGTATTTTTGTTGTTACATTACATTCAACCTCTTCACCGTCACAGAAACAACCTCTAAAATTTCAAATGGCAACCCCCCATTATTGCTATTTTTGAAATTCTTATGTGATTCTAGATAGAGTCACTGGATGTTATTAGTTTGATAAGAGTTCGGAAACAGCTGAACTTTTGTCCTTTTCTATTTTCTATAATACAATGGTTTAGGTGAATAAAAGAATGAGACATATATTTTGCTCTTTGTCTTTTCAATTTCCCTAGTAGCGTCTGATTGTCAGATACGATTTTAGAGGTTATATTTTCTGTCAAATCAATCATAGCCGTAGATGGACAATGGATATAGGGTACAAACACCCACTTCAATTTATAGTGATACACTTCTAACAGAAGGTAGGTATTCTCAATATACAGGGAGTAACATAAGTACGTTCAAGTGAAGAATTCCTGAGACAATTTTAAGAAATAAAGTCTATATAAGCTTGTGTCCGGAAATGCTTCATTTCGGAGAAACAGGGTGTTGAAATACAGAGAACAAATCATTTCTCGATAAACATTTCATAGAAAAATTGTAATTTATTTTGACGATACCTACCAAATACTTGATTTTGTAAAGTTCTCATCAACTTCACTTAGCGCCCTAGAAGCTAATTAACATGGATCGATATAGAAAATATTTCCAAAACGATAACCTCCAGCGTAATTAAGGCCCTTATAATAATTCCCTTGAGACATGAATATTTATTTACTTTTCACTGTTGAATTTTGAATTTGGTCAGCACCATAAACGTCATTCAATAATATATCACGTTGTAGTTTTGTTGCTTTTCTTAGTTTCGTTTTCAAATTTTCAATTTCATTATGTAAGTATGCGATCATTTCCTATTTTTCCATGACTATTTCGTTTTGTATTTTGTGTGATGAATAAAGGATTTTTTTTCTTGAAATCGTCTGCACTGTAAATTGATGGAACAGCAGATTCTCTCAAACATATATTGAAATCTTCTGTTTGAAAATGGACCTAAAATATAGTTTCATTCTAATCAGATCCTGTTATAAGAAGTGAATTTCAATGAGAACCTCACAAATTTCGTTCGTCTTCAAATTGATTTACCACCCAGGTCATTTCATATCTTCCTTCCATAAGTGAATGCTTGATATTTGATTTGGAAAATTGAATAAACGATATCCATTTTTGGCAGAATTGGCACAATTTATTACACAGCAAGTGATTTCCATAGATGCTCTCGAAAGTATAATTATGAAATTTTATTTCAATTCTGACGTTTATAAAATTAATTGTCAAATTCAAACAATTTTGAATGAAAAAGCGCGAGACGACTATGGTGCTCTTGTCACAATGCAAGGTGTGTAACTTAATAAATCTAAACATTCAAAAACCGTAACGGTTGTCATTTCTGTGTCCGAAATCTTATCAAACTAATACCATCCAGTGATTCTAATTCTAGATAATTTGCACCTATTTTCAATTTTTTTGTCTTCAAAATTGCAGTACTCAACCTCAAGTATTTTTAAATTCCAATTCATTATGATGATGAAAAAAATGGTGTACAGACATAACTAAAATGCTCAGAGAATTAAGTGGACACTTAAATTTTTGCCAATTTTGAAATTGCCATGATTTTTTGAACAATGAATTGATTTCCAATCGGAAAGCAGTGCTTGAAAGTCCCGTTCTTTCTATTTAAGATTAATTCAAAACACATCGAAATTCTTGAGTCATGCAATACCAAGTGTTTGAAAAGAGTGTTACAGGAATGGAAAAGTTTGGGTGTCCCCGTATGCTACAGGATTTTTTTCATTTGCTTACGAATTGTGTTTTCTGAACGCCTGAGATGATATCTCGAAATGGTTTCGGAATATTATACCGGGTGACACAGGGTATCGGGCCACCCCTGTAACTTCTGCTTTCGTCGTCGGATTTTTCTGAAATTCAATACAGTTATATAAGCAATCATTTCAGATTTGATCACATTGCAATCCAATATGGCGGACTTCCGGTATTTCTGGAAATGCCAGCAACTTTGTTTTTTCAAATGAAACACCCTGTATATTTTTACATATTCAAGTTCAACAGGTCGAAACAAGTGCAATCTTTATTTCAAATGTCATTTTTTCGAAAAAAATTAAATTAAAATTGTTTTTTCATTTCACGTCGTGGATAAATGAAATGTGGTCAAGACTATTCACAATGAGTCACACATAACAGAAGAACATAATTTTTCTGAAAAATTATTTTTTGTGTCACTTATCCAGGAATCAATTCAGCCACATCACTTTTTGATCAAAAATAATTTTTTTTCAAATGGAACCCTTATGGGCCACCTACCCGTCTCTCAAGAACATACATTAAGGAACAAAATGACATATCATTTTTGTTTTTCGGTGCAGTAACAAATTGTATACATTCAAAAATCAACAACTAGTTTATGAATTTCCTTGCAGTTAAAATAATCTTTCAACTAGGTAGGCTGTGGAATGAATGACATTTGACATCAAGATTGAACTTGTTTTGACCTGTTGAACTTGAATATGTAAAAATATACAGAGTGTTCCATTTGAAAAAACAAAATTTCTGGCATTTCCAGAAAAACCGGAAGTCCGCCATATTGGATTGTAATGTGATCAAATCCGAAATAGTTGCTTATATAACTGTACCGAATTTCAGAAAAATCCGTTGACGAATGCAAAAGTTACAGGGGTGGCCCGATAACCTGTGTCACCCGGTATATGCCCCATACAAAAATATGAAATTCGATTTATGATGAACAAACTTATGAGAGAAAAGATTCATGATATCATGTTAGTAGTGACATAGCTAATTGAAATGTAAGTAGTGAGTATAGGTTCAGGAATGAGAAAAGGCGAGTTGGCTTTGAATGAGAGAAACTTCATGATATAATTGAAGTTCCATTGAAAGTTTTCACTGTGGATTGCTCATTTGTCAAAATGCCGATAGCGAACGAGGAGGCATTTGACATGCTAACAGTTTGAATTTTAATATTATTCCGAGTATTTCTCCGTTTCTTCAAGAGGTATCAACTCGCAGTTTTCACCATTTTTCTTCTCGTATACTCAACTTTCATATCATAGCAGGAAAAATATATGGTTCCATTCGAAATTCTCGAAAAAAAAAATGGCGAATCGGCTGATTTTTCAAACGATGCCATCTAGCGGCCACCACAGGATTTAAATCGACTTGATTCGTGATTCATCGGGAGGATCTGAAAAAACCCTTCATAATGAGACCAAGATCGCTTAATTCCGTTACACCAAACTGTAGTAAAAAGAGTTTTTCCAGAGTACTATCTATCCTTCCCTCCCTCTTTTATATAAAGAGCTAGCGCAATTTTTTTAATCGAAATGATTGGAAATCTACTCGAGAACATGGAAAAAGTGTTTCTGATATGTCTTGATATATAAAATTTTCATAAAAACCCGTTTTTCAAGTTGGCCAATGCAATTATGTTCTCTAGCGGCTGTCCTGGAAACTTGAAAATAATTTCCATAGATTTTTCTTGGCCACTTTTATCATGAATATATTTTTCCGAAACCTGTGCGGCAAATAGTTTTCGAGTAGGGGTCGCGACACCCCAGTCCAGCCCCTCCACTCCACCTACCACGTGACCTGGCTATAGACAATCACAGCTACTCGCGACCCAGCGAACGGGTCGTCATCATCGGCTGGACTGCGATAGATCCGTTCTAGAGATAACGGCGCGCATTTCATTACATTTTTCACCCAATAATGGCTATATACAGGGTGTATGAGTTGGCTAATAGTTGGGGAAAAAATATATATATAGAGTGAACCCAAAAGGCGTTATACCTCCTCGACGAGTAACCTACCAGCATAATTATAGGCTACCTGCTAGCTAATGATTCAATCTAATATATAGGGTGTTTGAGTTGAAAGAAATATATACAGGATGTCTCATGAATAATTTATCACATTTTTAGTAGATTACAGCCAACGTATGACAGATGGCAGATAGCATATGATAGATGACATGTGACCTTCCGGTGCTCATTGAAACTAAACGCTCAACTTACGTTTGACGGATACAACATTTGTTCATGGTAACTTTTTTATTTTCTTGATGCCCTATAACTCAACAAAGAACTCACGGCGCAGGCAGGTCAATGCTGTCAATGAAGATCTTGCTGAAATCACAGCCTGGGGAACGAACAACCTAGTTGAATTCAACACCACCAAAACTCAAGCCTGCATTTTCTCTAGAAAGGCGGAACTCAGTATGCCCGATATTGTAATGTCTGGCTCCACCATCCCCACCAAGCCCACCATATCTATGCTCGGAATTTCCATCAGCAACACTCTTTCATGGGATAATCATGTCAGATCCATCGCAAAAGCTGCTTCACAAAAACTCGGATTCTTGTTCCGTGCTAAAAGCTACTTTACACCTCAACAGCTTCTCATGATCTACAAAGCGCAGATACGGCCTGTTCTAGAATACTGTTCCCACATATGGGGTTCAGCACCAAAACATACGCTGATGCTCTTAGATTCCATCCAGAGAAGAGCCATTCGCCTGGTGGGTGACGCCACACTCACTCACTCTTTGACATCATTGGAACACCGTAGAAAGGTCGGCGACCTTTCACTTTTCTATCGATACTTCCACGGGAAATGTTCTTTGGAAATCTCTGCAATCATCCCTTCACTAGCAATACCAATCAGACGAACTAGACAAGCCCAGTCAGCACATCCTTTCGTTGTCAACCTCGAAAGATGTCGAACAGCACTTTATCAAGACTCCTTCATCCATAGAACGGCTAGGCTCTGGAATTCATTGCCTGTGGAAGTATTCCCAACAACATATAATCTCCAAAAATTCAAAAAAAATTCCAATACCTACCTCCTGTCCCTATCCTCCCTAGGAACGCACGATGTTCTTTGAACATTATAGGGATTCCCTTTCGTGCGCTCCAAACGGTGAAAAAAAAAAAAAACTTCTCGAAGTGCGTCCCACATATTACGAAACACCTTGTGTAAATTGACGTGTTTCGCCAAATTTTCGTAATGTCATTAGTAGAAAAAATACTGAATGATGCTCGTCAACAAATTGTCACTGTAGAATCGAGAGGAAAATGGATATGATCGCAACCTACAGACAGTATTTAACTTGTGCAAATTTAGTTTCCTCTGTGTTTTTGTGGAAATATTTTGGTGTATTTGAAATGTCTATCGCCCACAGTAATGATTGTTTTCAGTGTTCTTGTCAAAGGCCATCAAGAAGCTCAGGTCAAAACTCAACAAAAGGACTGACGATCGTATACAGAACACGCGAGAAGTTCTTTCATCTATCAGAATAATAAAGATGTACACTTGGGAAAAGATATTTACTGATAAGATCAACGGTTCTAGAGAGTAAGTTGTATTGTATACAGGGTGTCCCATAATTAGCGTGCAATACTTCACCAGCAGATTTTAACAAGCGTCTAGCCATATAGACCAGCGAATTTTTCAAAACTCAAGGTCATCAGAAAGTTATTCGTGTTTCTTAGACTTATGGGGATATACACTCAGTTCCAAAAAAAGTGACGCACTTGATAACTGACCTATCTTCTTACAAAAAAAAATAGTAGGGCGATTTTTTTTTATTTGTTGGTAGGTAATGCATTTGTCTTTGAAAAAAACAGGTGAACATTTTTTCAAAGCCTCCTTGATGGTGGTGGAATAACTCGAACCATGATTTATTCCTAATTTTTGACTCACCCTGTGTGTTAATTGAGTAATGGCATAGAAAGTGCTTGCACCCTATACGGAAGAGGCTTCTTTTGCGAGCATTTTGTTTTTTCATTCATTGATTTATCTCTAAAATTTTCCGAATTACAGCTTTTTTTGCTGAATCCTTGCAGATTACCAACTTTCTGAATTTATCAAGAAACAATTTACTAATGAAATAAACTGATACCAATAATTTTAAAAAACATTTTTATTAAACACAAAATTATAAATTGGGATGACTGCTTAATACCGTGTATTGCCTCCTCTAGCAACTCTAAGAACTTCTAATCTACGAGGCATAATGGAAATTAAGTTGCTTATCGTTTCCATTGGTATACGATCCCATTCTTCCACTAATGCATCTGCCATTTCTGCGAGACTTTCCGGAGACCTCTCGCGAGAATGTACCCTTTTCCCTAATTCAGCCCACAACTGTTCTATAGGATTAATATCGGGGGTTCTCGCAGACCATTGTGATATGGTAATAACAGTAGCTTCTAAGAAGTTTCGCACTATTGCTGCGGTGTGTGGTCGGGCATTATCCCGCATCAATATAAAATTATTGCCCACTAACTCTGCATAAGGTAAGATATACTGCTCTAAAATGTCAATGTAAATTTGGGCATGCATCAACTGTCTCACTGGAAAAACATGAAGTGTTGTCTTTCCATTCATTGAAATCCCTCCCCACACCATAACGGACCCACCATCCATTAAAACTTTCGCATTCTCTTCGCATACATTTTCAAAAAAATTTCTTCTAGCAGCACGATGTTCGGGCAATAATTTGGGACTTTTTGCAGGTATCCTAGCTTTGAAATTAACTTCTTTCAGACGTCTACATACCGTCTACTTACTTACTGCAACATCACGAATTTGGCGAAGATCTTGCTGAACATTTAACAATTAACAGGATGAGTCAAACATTAAGAATAAATCATGGTTCGAGTTATTCCACCACCATCAAGGAGGCTTTGAAAAACTTTTCACCTCTTTATTTTTTTCAAAGACAAATGCATTACCTACCAACAAATAAAAAAAAAATGAAAATCGGCCTACTATTTTTTGTTTTTTTTAAGAAGATAGGTCAAATATCAAGTGCGTCACTTTTTTTGGAACTGAGTGTATATATTCTCATCAAAATTATCATTATTTGATCAAATCAACAGACTGTTTATAGTTGAATGAACATCAACATTATTTTGGATCGACAAAATTTGTTGAGAAAACCATATATTTTGTTGAATTGATATTATACTGTTGATTTAATTATACTACATTCTTGATTTGAACAAGCTGCTTCCATGGAATAATCATGTATCTGGTTGATTCAACAAAGAATTGCTCAGTCCAACAAAAATAATTCAAGCATAAATAATTCATTGATGCAACACATCCTTTTTTCCGTGTGATTCATCTACTTGTTACTATAAATAATCAGAGCCTATAGCGTGTGTTTATTTTAGGTCACTTTCAAATTTTCCCAACGAACATTCTGTAATTTTCAGGAAAGAAATGAGCACGATGTTGAAAAACAACATCATGAAAATGCTGATGATGACGTTGAGCCACGTGATGTCGAAGTTCTCCTTCTACGCTCTGATCATGGTCTACATCTGGATGAACAACAACGAAATCAGCGCTGAGGATATTTTTTACGTGATGAGAATCTTCGGCCAACTCAGGATGATCGTTTCTTTTACATTCTCAATGGGTTTTGCGAGGATTGCGGAGCTCGTTGCCTCTTTGGAAAGGATACAGAACATCCTGAACTTGGATGACCTTGCCGAGGATGATGCAGGTCGGTCACATCACGTTTTTTTCCTCAATTTAATATGATACCATTGGCATAAATTTCGGCGTTCCACAAGGATAAATTTTGGCACCAACATTATTCCTCCTTCATATCAATGATCTGTTGGGAATAACAACTTGCCCTATCCACAGCTTCGCAGATGATTGTACCCTCCATACTGCGTTCTCTTGCTGCAATGCTGTCAATGAAGACCTTGCTGAAATCACAGCCTGGGGAACAAACAACCTTGTTGAATTCAGCGCCACCAAAACTCAAGCCTGTATTTTCTCTAGAAAGGCGGAACTCAGTATGCCCGATATTGTAATGTCTGGCACCACCATCCCCACCAAGCCCACCATATCTATGCTCGGTATTTCCATCAGCAACACTCTTTCATGGGATGATCATGTCAGATCCATCGCAAAAGCTGCTTCACAAAAACTCGGATTCTTGTTCCGTGCGTAAAGCTACTTTACACACCGATTCTCTGCAAGTTGTTATTTACCATCTCGTACAGGTCGGGTATTTTTCCATCATGCTGGAAGACAGCTAGAGTCCAACCAATTCCCAAAAAAGGGAACAAGAACCTGCCCATCAACTACAGGCCCATTGCCCTGTTATCAGTAATCTCCAAAGTGATGGAGAAAGCCATCAACATTGAGCTTATCAAATATCTGGAGAGCTCAGGAATTATCAATGATAGACAATACGGCTTTCGCCACCGAAGATCTACTGGAGATCTACTTGCCTACGTCACCCATTTATGGCAAGCTTCATTAGAAAAACACGGAGAATCTCTAGCTGTCGCGTTGGACATATCGAAAGCATTTGACCGTGTTTGGCACGAAGGACTCCTCCACAAACTACCATCATACGGCTTACCACCTCAGCTATGCCATCTCTTATCGAGTTTTCTTCCAGGCAGATCGCTTCATGTGGTGGTGGACGGTGTATCGTCTGATATTATTGGCATCAATTCCGGCGTTCCACAAGGATCAATTTTGGCACCAACATTATTCCTTCTTCATATCAATGATCTGTTGGGAGTAACAACTTGCCCCATCCACAGCTTTGCAGATGATAGTACCCTCCATACTGCGTTCTCTTCTAGAACTAAGAACTCACGGCGCAGGCAGGTCAATGCTGTCAATGAAGACCTTGCTGAAATCACAGCCTGGGGAACCAATAACCTGGTTGAATTCAACGCCACCAAAACTCAAGCCTGTATTTTCTCTAGAAAGGCGGAACTCAGATATGCCCGACATTGTAATGTCTGGCACCACCATCTCCACCAAGCCCATCATATCTATGCTCGGTATTTCCATCAGCAACACTCTTTCATGGGATAATCATGTCAGATCCATCGCAAAAGCTGCTTTACAAAAACTCGGATTCTTGTTCCGTGCGAAAAGATACTTTACACCTCAACAGCTTCTCATGATCTACAAAGCGCAGATACGGTTCTAGAATACTGTTCCCACATATGGGGTTTAGCTCCAAACCATTCGTTGATGCTCTCAGATTCCATCCAGAGAAGAGCCATTTGCCTGGTGGGTGAAGCCACACTCACCCACTCCTTGACATCATTGGAACACCGTAGAAAGGTCGGCGACCTTCCACTTTTCTATCGATACTTCCACGGGAAATGTTCTTAGGAAATCTATGCTATCATCCCTTCACTAGAAATACCAGTCAGACGAACTAGACAAGCCCAGTCAGCACATCCTTTCGTAGTCAACCTCGAAAGATGTCGAACAGCACTTTATCAAAACTCCTTCATCCATAGAACGGCTAGGCTCTGGAATTCATTGCCTGAGGAAGTATTCCCAACAACATATAATCTCCAGAAGTTAAAAAAAAATTCCAATATCTACCTCCTGTCCCTATGCTCCCTAGGGATGCACGATGTTCTTTGAACATCATAGGGATTTCCTTTCGTGCGCTCCAAGCGATAAAAAAAAGAGATTGATTCGACTTCCGACCGTGGTAATCATCAGATGGCGTTCACGTGGTCTGGAAGTCAGGTTAATGTTTGTGAAAGTCCAAATTTTTTTAAAAATTACCTGATCTGGATGAAAATACAATACAAAATGTGTTTTGTGAAAATCTTATCGTTTGTGAAGTTTTTACATAAAATGTGAAGTTTATTGAGTGTGTGTTGAAATTATCAGGCCCTTTTATCTCTACGCCGGTATAGAGGCCGGATGATAACGGATTCATCGGATAAGGGGTCATACTTGAAGTCAAGTCCATTATCTCTACGCCGATGAACAGGCCGGATTAACAACGGATTTGTTGGATAAGAGGTGAACATAACCGATCGAATCTTATGAACACTGATGACTCGGCTTCAGGCCATCGTGATAGACAATCTGTGTCTTATGTGGCGAGTCGAGTGATAATATTATTACATAACCAAGTATTTATTCTTGAAAGAAATCAATTACCTGATCTGGAGAAAGACATAAATTCAATAAACTCAAAGAGAAGAAGAAGAACATGAGATGAGCTCCTCTAACTTTTTTTGAAGTGATAACTTCTATAGGCTTGTTAGGCACTTCCTGGGATGGAAAAAAGATGGCAAATCGCGTCACGGTCACCGCGTACCGCGAGACCCGCATATGTATATGTTTGACATCGACGGCGGCTGGTGGGGGGTTATCGAGTCTCTCTGGTCATCGCTTAAGGAAACCAAAGGTAGGAACCCAAAGAAGTAAGGAAACCGAAGAAGTATGGAAATCAAAGATGGACAGAATTCGAAGAAGTAAGGACCAGAAGGGGAAGGAATTCAAGGAAGTATGGAATACAAAGGTGGACAATATTCGAAGAAGTTAGGAAACCAGAGGAGGAAGGAATCCAAAGAAGTATGGAAATCAAAAGTGGACAGAATTCGATAAGTAGGGAAACCAATGAAGAAGTAAGGAAACCAAAGAGGTAAGGAAACCAAAGAAGAAAGGAATCCAAAGATGGCAGGAATCCAAAGGAGAATGTAAATCAAAGCAGGACAGAATTCGAAAAAGTAAGGAAACCAGGAAAGGAAGGAATCCAAAGAAGTACGGGAACCAAAGAAGGAAGAAATCCAAAGAAGTAGATGGACAGAATTCGAAAAAGTAAGGAAACCAGGGGAGGAAGGAATCCAAAGAAATAAGGAAACCAATATAGAAGTAAGGAAACCGATAAAGAAGGAAGAAATCCGAAGAAGTATGGAATTCAATGAAGAAGTAAGGAAACCAAAGAAGTGAGGAAACGAAAGATGAAAGGAATCCAAAGGATTATGGAAATCAAAGATGGGCAGAAATCAAAGATGGGCAGAAATCAAAGATGAACAGAATTTGAAGAAGTAAGGGAACCATCAGAGAAGGAAGGAATCCAAAGAAGTAAGGAAACCAATAAAGAAGTGAGGAAACCAAAGAAGAAAGAAATCCAAAGAAGTATGGATATCAAAGATGCACAGAATTCGAAGAAGTAAGGGAATCAATGAAGAAGTAAGGAAACCAAAGAAGTAAGGACACCAAAGAAGAAAGGAAATCAAAGAAGGAAGGAATCCAAAGAAGTATGGTGATCGAAGATGGACAGAAATCAAAGATGGACAGAATTCGGAGAAGTAAGGAAACCAGAGAAGGAACTAATAAAATGAGTAAGGAAACCAATAAAATAGTAGGGAATCAAAGGAGTAAGGAAACCAAAGATGTAAGGAAATCAAAGAAGGAAGAAATTCAAAGAAGGAAGGAGTCCAAAGAAGGAAGGAATCCAAAGAAGTATGGAAATCAAAGATGGACAGAATTCGAAGAAGTGAGGAGTCCAGAGATAAAATAATTCCAAAGAAGAAGGAAGCCGACAAAAAAGTAAGGAAACCAAAGAAGGAAATATTCCAAAGAAGGAAAGAAGGAGGGAGCCGAAAGAAGGAAGGAATCCAAAGAAGTAAGGAAACCAAGAATAAAAAACAAAGGAGTAAGGAAATCGAAGGGGGAAGGAATCCAAAGAAGAAAGGAGACCAAAGAAGGAAGGAATCCAAAGAAGTATGGAAATCAAAGATGGACAGAATTCGAAGAAGTAACGCAACCAGAGGAAGAAGAATTCCAAAGAAGAAGAAAACCAATAAAAAAGTAAGGATACCAGAGAAGGGAGGATCCCAAAGAAGGAAAGAAGGAAAGAGTCGAAAGAAGAAAGGAATCCAAAGAACTATGGAAATCAAAGATGGGCAGAATTCGAAGAAGTAAGGAAACCAGAAAGGAAAGGATTCCAAAGAAGAAGGAAACCAGAGATTATACACTCAGGAAACCAATAAAAAAATAAGGAAACCAACGAAGTAACGAAACCAAAGAAGGAAGGAATCCAAGAAGTAAGGAAATCAAAGATGGATAGAATTCGAAGAAGTAAGGAAACGAAAAAAGGAAGTAATCCGAAGGAGAAAGGATTCCAAAGAAAGAAGTGATTCGAAGAAAGATAGAATTCGAAGACGATTTCCCCGTATTGTCCTAAAGATATTGGAAATACTGACCGGTCAAACAAGTTATCACTTCCGTCGTGTGGTCCTACGCACACCTGTATTTTTTTCATTGAACCTGGCAAATCTGAGATTGAGTCAGCCATTTTTCGAATGAAAGTAACTAGATTTCCAGCATTCTTGCAGTTGCGAACAGCACAAATTTGCATCCCATTATCTTTCCAATTTATTTTAAGTTTGACTAACCTTTGAAATTGATGTCAAGTATTGTCAGTTCTCGCTTTTTTCATCTATTCATATATCGAATTTTCGTAATTGAAATGATGAGATCTATCACCCAATTCAGTTTGTACCTCATAACCTGAATCACCCTGTATAACAATTCAGACATAGAATCTCTATTAATGCTAACAATACACTGAAACATGAAATTATTATGACATTTTGCTAGTGGGCTGTGAATTTTTTATATAAATTGAACTATACTTTGAAGAATTCCCATTTTTGATGAGTACCTGAAAACAACAGATAAATAATAATACATAAATCATATCACATATGATAAATATAAGAAATATCTCATTATTAATGAATCACACATAATCCTTCAATTCAAGCTTGGAAAATCCATGACCCACTGGAAGAAATTCAATGCTCAAGTGTTTTCAGCATCTCTGGAGATCCTATGGTAACAGTATACATCATTTTGAAGAAAAAATTGCAAATTCAACGAAATAATAAAGTACAGGGTTTTTCATTGAAAAATATATAAGTTTGAGTCGCATTTCCAAAATCGAGCCCCAAAAAAAATGTATAGTACGCCAATGAATTCTGCTCAAATTTCTCTAAGATATAGTTCTTAGTGCTACATTATTCCTTATAATTCCGTAGGGGCAAAAAGTATACATTTCCGAAATCGCCCTGTATCTCATGAATGGAAACATTTATGCAAAATCTGATTGAAAAGTAGGACAGGAACGTGAAAACCGCAAGATAGCTTCAATAACAACTGACAAACCTGTCAGTCTCAACCAAAATGGGAAGCATGCACTGTACAGGGTGGCTGGAATATTCGAGGCTCATCATTGGGATCTCGTAAACCGTAAGAGATACAGGGTGGGTTAAATTATGACAAAGTAGCGCAATTTCATGCTGATCAAAATGCCGCCTCAAAAGTTTCGAAATTCCTAATGTTACCGAAGATATTTGAAAAAAAAAAACGAATATCCGCGATTTCATTTTTATTTTTTTGTGACATTTGAAGTGATATGTCAAAATGAGTTCCATATTAGCATTGCCACTTTTCCTGCTCTATTCAATGGCATTAATAGATTCGTGTTCCGACGTTTCGTCTTCGAGGAGCCATCACCAACTTGGTTTTTTTAAATGGTCGAAAATGAATTTTCTGTTCATGAAAACTCTAATTCCAATTCTGAATCCAACGACATATAACACTTTCCAATTATTGTCTCACGTTTCGGACCAAATAATCATTATCAGTGTTATATGATGATGATTACGAAGGAAACGAAACGTCGGATCAAAAATCTGATGGAGGCAACTTGTAGAAAAGGAAAAATGGCTATAAAAATGTCAAATTGAGTTCGGTCTATCTCTTATATAAAATTAGAAAAAGATCATTTCTTAGAATTAGAAACATGGAGAATAACTTTTTATTGAAAACTAAAATAGAGATAGACCAAGAGATAGACCAGAATGAATTTGACAATTTCGAAGTTATTTTTCCTTCTCTACAAGACGCCGTTATCAGATTTTTGTTCTGACGTTTTGTTTCTTCGTAACCATCATCAAATAACAACGATAATGATTTTTTGGTCCGAAACTTAGGATGATTGCAAAGCCTTGTAGGTCGTTTGATTCAGGATTGGAATTAGAGTATTTTAGTAACGAAAAATTTATTTCGACAATTCAAAAAAAACAAAGTTGATGATGGCTCCTCGACGACGAAACCTCGGATCATGAATCTATTGATGCCATTGGATAGAGCAGAGAAAGTGACCATGCTAATATGATATTCATTTTGACATATCACTCCAAATAAAGTCAGAAAAAAATAAAAACGAAGTCGCGGATATTCGGGTTTTTCCAAATATCTTCGTAAATATTCGGAATTCCCAAACTGTTGAGGCGGCATTTTGATCAGCATGAAATTGCGCAAGTTTGCCATAATTTAACTCTTTCAGGTACAGGAATTTCGAAATATAACACCCCCTATAGATGTACAGCTTTATTTTTCTTCAGATTTTCGAGAGATTCATTAACAAACTAACTCCAAATAACTCAAAAGATACGAACAAGTATAGAATAATTTCAGAATTTTCCAATTTTTACAAAAAAAAAAACGGTGGGTCAAAATCTAACCCACCATTCCATAAGGTGAAAGATTTCATGAGAATCGACTCATTTCAAATCACTGTGAAACGTCTGCAAACATGTTTTGTTCTTTGCAAGACAGAGTGAAACACACAACCAGTTTGTTCCAACTTCAAACTTTCATGAATTGCAAACAACATTATCTCCTTCGACTTGTTCGGATAGGTTGATGAGCACCCTGTGTGACTCTCATTACCGCGCTTTGACTGAGTGTCATTCTCTATTTGACTCGTCAATTCGATTGATGTTCTCGATGAAAATACTAATATTTATTGACGACTAAATGATCAAATCTTTCATTGATAACTTTGAAAGATATAGAGTATTCTGTGAAGAATAAATGAGTTGACTACAGCGGCATCCAAGGAAAAGAATTCATGAATATCTGTTCCTTTATATGTCTTTCCAGTCGTCTGATGATTCTGCTTAGTACATAGATTGATCTGGAAAACTATGTGATTCAATAATTTGTCCGTGATGAACTAACGAGAGAGATAATCCTTCTTGAGCCACTCTAGATGTTCTACTGAAATCTTTTGGCTGAACGATCTCATCCACTCCACGCCATTTTTTTCTCTATCCCTGGTTTCAACTCCGCGATAGGGGTATCAAATCTTCTGGGTCCCATGTATCCATATAATAAGTACTGGTGCCTCGATATTCATATCAGACAGTATAATGTTGTTAAAATTGGATTCGACATCATTTTCCTCATCATTATCCTTGAAAAATGTCTTGGTGATGTTGTGTGGTGGGACAAATTTCAAACAGCGTAGATTTTCACATTTTGTGAACGAAAAATAAACATATAAGTTGGAAAAATATAACAAGTAGGTTACCTATGTTGTCAAGATAGTATATAATGCAAAAAAAATGTAATAACATGATGAGCATGAAATTTGCAGCCACAATTCGAGAGGAGAAACACAACGTACGGAACAAGTTTTGAGTTTATTCTATTCACTGATAATGTATTGTTTTATTCGCTACAGCCTAGAACATATGATTCAAAAGACCAATATGAGTGAGAATTATGGGGCGGGAGAGAAAATAAACCGTCGTACCACAAATCATAAGCCCATTGCAGAGCGGGATATATTTTGTCCCAGCATACCTCTAACTCCAAGAAATTCGTGGTTCAAATTCTGCGCCAAAGTACTTGAAAGAGTTAACCGACCCTGTATCTCTTACGCTTCACGAGATCCCGCAATGATGATCCTCGAATTCCAGGTACCCTGTACATTAAGGAACTTTAGTTTTTCATAATTTTCAAGAACAAATAAAATTCTGAACATAGTTGACTTTCTCATTAACAAAATCCAATGATTGCCCTCAGACAAACCTGATGATGAGCCGCAAATCGACATGCGAAACGTCTCGGTGGAAATGAGAAACACCGAAATCCTCAAAAACATCCAACTGAAGATGGAAGTCGGTCTCAACGTAGTCACCGGCCATTTGGGGTGCGGCAAGAGTTCCCTCATCAAGGCCATCCTCAAGAGCTACCCTGTTAGTGGGGGAGAGTTGCGCACGAGGGGTAGGAAGAGTTATGCGTCGCAGGACTCTTGGCTGTTTCCCTCTTCGATCAAGCAGAACATTTTGTTCGGAGAAAAATACGAGTATGAGAGATACAAAAAAGTAAGTTGGTGCCTTCCTCAGTCTAATAGCAAATTACATTGGTAAAACTGGCTCGCACTGAGTGCATATTTTGTATACCATTGATGAAACGGGTGTCGAGTTTTGAATTCTATTGGAAAACAAGTTCACATCCCAGGTAGAACACACTAATATTGGTTCAATATTGAGTCAATAAATGGTGAATGTTGGGAAAATATTAATTTTAATTATTGGGTCAATAAATCAATGTGAACATTCTGGAATCTTGGTGCTATGTTGAATTCCAATCTTGTTTCGATATGCTCTATCCAATATCGAGTTAATATTCGTATGCAAGATTGGACAAATATATGATGCCAACTTATAGAAAACTGGTTTCTTATAATTTTCATATGTGAAATCGATATTGAATTCATATTCCCCTACTATATTGGCTAAAATGAGGATGTGATTATTTTGCAATATTATCTTCATGTTGAATTATAATATTCAACCAATATTAAATTTCGTTTTTCAACAAAACTCGAAATCAAAATTCGAAGCCATATTAGCCTCATTAAAAAATTGCGATATTTGTACAATATCAAATCCATTTTCGTTTCCTGTATCCCAGAATACTTAGTTTGCAAGTTGAACGAATGCGGTATTTGATGTCTCTCAGCAGTCGTTTGTTGGAGGCGTGCTAGTGGCGCCAGCTGTTATAACGTAGCTCAAATACTAAGAGAAATATCACGAATATCGATTCGATATTAGAAATCCAATGTCAGTGCAATATTGGTTCTGGCATATTTCATTAGTTATATCTATCTGAAATGGGTCGCATATTGATGAACTAATATTGGCTGAATAAAAATACAAAATATTGATACAATATGTTTTCCAAGATTGATTCGATATTGGGAATACAATATCAGCCCATCCTGAAAATTGACATATTGTATTCGTTAATATTTCGCCAATATCAAATAAATATTGGCAAACTGATATCGGCTGGTCACAAAATTTCAATGTTATTACAACATTGGCACTGGATTGATTATTGAATATCAAAATGATATTGAATCACCAATATCAGTGCAATATTGCTGGACAACGAAGAGCAATATTCACCAACCATCATAAATCTGATATTGATGCAATATTTTTTTCCATGATTGATTCAATATTGGAAATACAATATTAGCCCAATCATGGAAATTGACATTGTGATCGTCAATATTTCACCAATATCGAATAGATATTGGTAAATAAATATCGGCTGGAAACAAAATTTCAATGTTATTACAACATTGCTGGACAATGAAATGCAATATTCACTAACCATCATAAGTTGGATATTGAGTCAATATTTTTTTCCAAGATCGATTTGATATTGGAAATGCAATATCAGCCCATCATAAAAATTGACATATTGTGATCATTAATATTCCTCCAATATCAAATAAATATTGACAAATTGATATCGGCTGGTCACAAAATTTCAATGTTATTAAAATATTGGCAATGGATTGATGATCGAATATTGAAATGAAAAATTGGTTTGATATTGGTGCAATCTAGTAATTCCATATTCAATATTCGAATATTGGGCTAATATGAAACCAAGTTCTAGCCAATATGATGTTCTACCTGGGATAGTTTAGTGCTCAGTGCAAAAATTCTCGCACGAGCTCTAATATGTCGTGCGAAGTCAGTGCAGTTTTGAAAATGGCGGAAACATTGAATATGCATAGTTTAAAAACCAAACCAAACCAAAATTGAGTGGCAATCTAGTCATCATCATCAAGTAGTGATGAAAAGTTGGAGGTTTCAAGAAAATGAAGGAGATTACTTCCCAGAATTCATAATTTTGTTGAGTGTTTTGCACTAATTCAATGATGAAGAAGTCTTATTAAAAAAAATGCTCCAAATCATTTCCATGAAACATCTACTTTGTTTTTAATTGAAGTCAAGAAAGAATTCCAGGATGCGGGCAAGTTATAAACAAGGACAAACTAAACTGGTCAACATTGATAACGTCGTGCTCCAAAATAAAGCCTGAATTCAAAGTAGAATAACTCACGAATTTCCTCACCAATTTGAAATCGGTTTTCACCGATGATTAGCCTAATCTCTTGACAGTTTGTTGTGGCAATATGAAACTTCTGTGATTTCAGATAACATTGCTACAGGGTGATAATTGAATGGGTGTAAAATTGCATCGTGGTCGTCCCCCTCACCTGTATCCTCTTGATAATCGTGTTATGAATATTCATTCAAAATGATGCATTTTTTCGACGATTAATTGAATGAAATTGAAAGTTGGAATTCTTCTCCGAAGAATCAACGTTGTATGTATAGTCGTCGGATATGTGATCGTGTTCGAACACAGAAAATTCTGAAAAAGTCTATACAAAGTGATACAAGAAATACTGAATGATGGAATGGGGAATAACATAGTCTTCAGTAGATGAAACATAATTTTCTCTGTGTTACTAGTGGAATAATGGAGTGTTACTTCGTCATGAGGATGTCTGGTGTCTGACCTCGAAATGGTTTTGTGATTTCTTGGATCGAATGTCATATAATGAAAGTACGCATTTTTAATCGAAATGATGCATTTTCGTTAAGATAAATTATGAAATTCAAAAAATTACGTTGTAGTTTCAGAAGTATGAAATTCATATTTATTCTTGACGGTGGATATACAAGGTGCGATAAAAAATATGTCATCCTGAATCAGTTTGATGTAGGAATTGGAAATTTTTCAACTGATGGTTGGATTTCGAGTTCGATTTGTTGCAATTGTTTCCACGAATAGGTTAGTGAAATTACCACATCAGAACAAAAGAAATATTGAAATTTGTGAATCCACATACAGAGTGCATGGAAATATGTCTCAAACAAATAAATAGATACATGAATAAAGTGAGAACCTGTGAATATAACCTGGCATAAAAATGCAGACAACGACAAATGGAATTAAATGAGTTGTAGAATTGCAAAAGCTCCATAATTTGATATGAAGGACTGAAAATATTCCGTTTTTAGCTATTGAAATTCACAAATCCTACATTGCACCTTCAGAAATTCAGTAGTAAAATAGCATGCGGAAACATAAAAAGTACACAAATCCATTCAACATTTTGTGCTCTCTTCAGATATCTAAACGGATTTTCTGAATTCAAACGTACAGGGTGTTTTTGCGAGGACTCAATAATATGTTGAATTTTTGTTAATCCGGGCCTGGAGTTTTTCTCTGACGGATATACAAGTCGCTGGGGTATTAGTGGGAAAACACGTCTACCAAATATCAAAGAAATATACCAGGTGGTTCGTATGCCATGAACCTTCAGAGAAATGACCAGAATTGATAAAACAACCTATATCTCGATAATGAAATATGTAAGACCCAATATACGGGTGTTTCACAGGTAAAGGGAAATATTTCAATGGTAGATAGGGGTTACCAAGGTGGTTCTGAACATACCATATTTGATAGGTCTTAGAGTCTTCAAAACAGAGATACAGGGCGATTTATCGATTTCGAATAATTATTCATTCGTCTATATGTATTGACTTACCCAGTATATTTTTCTCAAATTTGGTAAGGAGCTTATACTTGGGACGTTAAATTCATTCACCTATCGGGCGGAGTGAAAATCCAGGTTCGGATTCAGGAAAAATTTACATTTATTCGAAATATTAAAATAACACACTGTATGTGATAATTGACAGAGTTCATCAAAGGAATCGTGAAGAGGAGAAAAAACTGAACTGGATTTGATGCTTTTTGTTTTCCCGCCACCAATTCTCATAGCTGCTCATAGTAACAATCATAAACATAAAGTTGAAAGTATGTCAATTTGAAGACATTGAAATCATGAAATCAGTGTCAATTATGATTAATCGATATATTTCAGTCAAATAATCGCTCTAAAGAACTTACTAAGTCTCACAGTCTTTATAACGAAGATACAGGGTGAATTATCGGTTTTGAATAATCGTTCACTCGCCCATAAGTAGTATCAAACTACCCAGTAACATTTTTTCAAATTCGGCATGTAACTTACTTGGGACGATGGATTCATTAACCTATCAGGCGGAATGGAAATAATACCAAATAATTATAATTCGATGATTCACCCTGTATCTCTGTTATAAAGACTATGAGACTTCTCCTGAAGCTGAACCTGTATTTCCATTCTGCCTGATAGGTCAATGAATCCATCGTCCCAAGTAAGCTCAATACCAAATTTGAGAAAATATTACTGCGATGGGTAGTTTAATACTTATGGACGAGTGAATAATTATTCGAAACCGATAATTCACCCTGTATCTCTGTTATGAAGACTGTGAGAATTAGTAAGTTCTTTAGAACGATTATTCAACAAGAATATATCAAATAATCATAACTGAAAGTGGTTTCATAATTTTAATACTCTTCAAATTGACATACTTTTAGCTTTCTGTTTATGATTGTTACGATGAGAATTGGTGGCGGGAAAACAAAAAGCATCAAATCCAGTTCAGCTTTCTCTCCTCTTCACGATTCTTTTGATGAACTCTGTCAATTTTCACATACAGTGTGTTATTTTAATATTTCGAATAAATGTAAATTTTTCCTGAAGCCGAACCTGGATTTTCGCTCCGCACGATAGGTGACTAAATTCAACGTCCCAAGTTTGAGATCCATACCAAACTTGAGGAAAATATACCGGGTAGTTCAATAATTATAGACGAATGAATAATTACTCGAAATCGATAAATCGCCCTGTATCTCCGTTATGAAGACTCTGAGACCTATCAAATATGGTATTTTCAGAACCACCTTGGTGACCCTTATGTACCACTGAAATATTTCCCTTTACCTGTGGAACACCCTGTATATGGTATATACAGTACCACCTTGGTCACCTCTATCAACCGTTAAAGTATTTCCGTTTCCCAACGGAACACCCTGTATAATATATATTTACAAGTAACAACTTCTGTATATTTGAAACGGCATTTTTCGGTAACTGCTGAAAGCAAAATGAAAAACTAGGGTATTATTGAAAACAGACTTGAACGCTCTTCAGAATAATGTGCATCTCGACCCCCCTTATCATATATGAGGTTTTAAGGGTAACATCGACCCCTCCTAGGGGGTTGAACCAAGTGTCCCCCTTGAAAATAAAATCGAACTGAAAATTCGATTTCTCATATTATTCACTGGAAGGAAGATATTGAGGGTGGGAAATTTTCAAAATATGTGTTCTTCAAGCTGTCGAAGTCCTGATACAAAAAACTGACTTCTTCAGGTGGTGGAAGTATGCGCCTTGGAATACGACTTCGCCATCTTGGAACGAGGCGACGAAACGATCCTCACCGACGGCGGCACCAATCTGAGCAAGGGCCAACAGGCGCGCGTCAACTTAGCCAGGGCCATCTACCGCGACAGCGACATCTATCTGATAGACGACGCACTAACCGCGTTGGATCCGCGCGTCCAAGACCAGATATTCGACGAGTGCATCAGAGGGTTCCTCAAGAAGAAGTTGGTGGTGCTGGTGACGCACAATGCGAAGCATATCGAAAATGCCGATATGCTCGTTGTCATGGCGAACGGTGCTATCAAGGTATTTTGTTCACTTTCGTTCACTAAGGTTCACTTTTGTTCACTTTCGTTCACTTTTGTTCACTTTTGTTCACTTTTGTTCACTTTTGTTCACTTTTGTTCACTTTTGTTCACTTTTGTTCACTTTTGTTCACTTTTGTTCACTTTTGTTCACTTTTGTTCACTTTTGTTCACTTTTGTTCACTTTTGTTCACTTTTGTTCACTTTTGTTCACTTTTGTTCACTTTTGTTCACTTTTGTTCACTTTTGTTCACTTTTGTTCACTTTTGTTCACTTTTGTTCACTTTTGTTCACTTTTGTCCACTCTTGTTCACTTTCGTTCACTGTTGTTTATTTTTGTTTACTTCTGTTTACTTTTATTCACTTTTGTTCTCTATTCTTCACTTCTGTTCTTTTTGTTTACTGTTTTTCACCTTTTCGTCACTTTTTGATCACTCTTGTTCACTTTTGTTAACATTGGTTCATTTTGTTCTCTTTTTTTCACTTTCCTTTCAATAGCACACAACGTCCTAGGGACGTCCCCGTACATCTCATGCAATGTCCGAGCAAGGACGTCCACGGAATGTCCCAGCTAGTACATCATTTCAAATGTCCTAGAAATAACATCCCTTAGACGTCCCACGTGGTACATATTGTATAATGTCCATGCAAGGACGTCCTTGGCATGTCCCTGATGGGATATGATTTCAAACGTTCCTTAAGGGACATCCATCGGATGTCCTGAGTAGTACATATCGCGGCATGTCTTGAGATCTTATATAATGTCTCTTCTAGACAACCATGAAATGTCCCTGATGGTACATTTCTTCAAATATTTCTGCACAGACGCCCTCAATATTTCCAGGATCGTATAACAATCGAAATGTCCCTTCGGGATATCCGTCGGATGTCCCAATTGGTAGATGAATTGTACTCTTCCAATGTCCTAGAAATAACGTCCGATGGACGTCCCAGTCGGTACTTTTTCCATATGTTGTTCCTACGAGGACTTTAACTTATACCTCGCCGACGAATGATTGCTCATAGGCCATAAATACTCGCCGTCAATGTCCTTCACGCTAGTCCATTTGACATCCTTGAGAAACTTTTTCAGGATCTATTGGGGATCTTCTACGAACCATCAACTCAACTGGATGTCCTCATCAGTTATGCAAGACCTGGTCCTAGAGGGACCCAGAAAAATTCAAATTCAAGAATAATTCGTACGTCCCTGAGACATCCTATGGACATCCAATTGATATCCCTCAGCGTTGCTAATAAGTTGTCCTACGGATGTCCTAAGGATGTCCTCCGTAGTGCTTGTTAAGAAATACTGTGGGATTTAGGTATTCGATAGTTGTCCCAGGGACATCCCTCAAGGACGTCCCTAGTTGGCCCTCAAGTGGGACATTTGTGCGTCCCACAGACCTTCAATGGACGTCCACCGTACCAAATTCGAACGTCCTATGGACGTCCTGAATGTCCCGTCAGGACGTCCCAAGGATATCCATGGGACATTATTGTGTTATCAGGGTTTCGTTCACAAGTATTTACTATTGTTCTCTTTTCTTTACTTTTGAGCTCTTTTGTTCAGTTTTGTGCACTTTTGTTCAGTTTTGTGCACTTTTGTTCAGTTTTGTTCACTTTCTGTCCATTTTTGTCCGCTTTTGCTCCCTTTTGTTCCTTTTTGTTAGGTTATGTTCATTTCATGTTCAGTTTTGTTCATTTTTGGCAAAAAAACGTCCAGAAAAAATGTTGCAAATTTATAGCCTTGTAACTTTTTCAGTTTTGGTGAAATTGGGACCAAATCATAGTAATGTTTTGATAAAAGTGATGACCTGATCTTTATACAGGAACAGAAAAAGTTACTCGTATACTCCTCAACTTCTTAACGGCCTTTGGCAAAAATGAGTGTATAAAGTTGGAAGCCGTATACATTTTCCAAACTGAACGATTTATCCATCTATCCATCCATCCAGTGCAGTCAAACAGAACGAACTACCACCCAAAAAGCTCCTCGAAGAAATCGTGAAAGAAGAAGAAGATTTTCGTATTTCCTGGTCAAATTGCCGAGAATTCTATAAACAATAAAGTTGAGAGAGACAGTGCCCCCAGTTGCCCCCGATTAAAAACCATTTTCGAATCAGGCATAAAAAATTCGGAACATAATATACAAAATTCGGTGATACTATCACAGAGAGAGTTTCGAAAATATTCACATACAACCATTATTTCGGGCTCTTCTTCAGGTGGCCTCCAGGGTGTCATTTCTAGACCCATGTTTATACAGTGTGTCCCACTTACCATGCTCACCATGGGTATCTTTTTAACGGTGAGAGATACGAGGTCGGTTATATGACACCAAATGTGGAGTTTGTCAAGGCCAACTATAATGTGAAAAAATATTTTGATAAAATCTATTCGTTTTTGTTTTATACGCAAAAAACAGATTTTGATCATTTTCATGTCTCCTCCGTAACTTCTTTATTTATGAAAATATTCAAATACGAACTTCTTATTTTCATGGCAGTTTTTCAAAATGATTTCGAAAAAAATATGAAATTTATACCAACTCTTCTAGAATTTGAGATATCAGCACCAACTTTAGTTTTTCAAATGTAGGTCATAGCTCACTATGACTTAGTTACAAATAACTTTCTTCTCACTTACAGATGATATGTCGCAGTAATTGTTTTGTGTCGATAACAACGGAGTTATCGTCATTTATACAAAAACAAAAAATGATTTGGATGTCGCCATCTTGAATTCATAAATTTTTACAAAAAAATCATGATCTCCGACCTCAAAAACCCCTACTTACCAATTTTGAATGGAATCGGACCAAATCTTGTCCGCCGTCTTGGAGCAGCCATTTTTTTAATTTCAGCGAAAATCCCATAATTTCTATTAACTTGAAATTTGGCAGGTGTTCATAATTTCGGTGACAATTCAATATGGAATTTTTGTTGAAATTAAAAAAAAATGGCTGCTCCAAGATAGCGGACAAGATTTGGTCCAATTCCATTCAAAATTGGTGAGTGGGGGTTTTTGAGGTCGGAGATCATGATTTTTTTGTTAAAATTTATAAATTCAAGATGGCGGCTTCCAAATATTTTCTTGTTTTTGTATAAATGACGATAACTCCGTTGTTATCAACACAAAACTTTTACTGTGAAATATCATCTGTAAGATAAAAAAAGTTATTTGTAACTAAGTCATAGTGAACTATGACCTACATTTGAAAAACTAAAGTTGGTGCTGATATCTCAAATTCTAGAAGAGTTAGTATAAATTTCATATTTTTTTCGAAATCATTTTGAAAACTGCCATGAGAATGTGAAATTCCTATTTGAAGATTTTCATAAATAAAGAAGTTACGGAGGAGACATGAAAATGATCAAAATCTGTTTTTTGCGTATAAAACAAACACGAATAGATTTTATCAAAATATTTTTTACATTATAGTTGACCTTGACAAACTCCACATTTGGTGTCATTTATCCGACCTCGTATCTCTCACCGTTAAAAAGATACCCATGGTGAGCATGGTAAGTGGGACACACTGTATATATAAACTTTTTTCACTATTTTTGTTCCTAGAATCTGAAGTTAAAATATTTCTATGTAATTTTCATCCATCCAGATCGCAGCCAAACAGAATGAGCTACCCAAAGAGCTCCTCGAAGAGATCGAGCAAGAAGAAGAAATAGTGGCCACCCTGATGCAGGAAAAACTCAAAGAAGCGGAAGCGGAAAAACAACTCGCCGAAGAAGACGTCGTCGACGAGAAAGCCGAACTGATAGTGGCGCCAGGAAAACCGAGAAGAAGACAGGTCTGTGGATACAATTATTTGCTTGTTTAAGTGATTTATTTCATTATTTCGAAGCAGTAACCCCAACTACACCTTTTTCAATGGCAGTTCAAATTAGGTCAATTGTATTTTCAAATTGTCATGTGGATTTCAAAAAGCATCGTTTTTCTACAAACGCTTAACAAAGTAGCCTTTGACGCTTTCAAATTCCAGCACAAAGTTGACGTTTTCCCAGAAATGTCATTCTTTGACAGCATTTGCGCTCGTGAGCGGAAATATTGAAAAAACGCTCGCACATCTCTGTATCCTATACGAAAACCCCCAATTTTCTCATGATGGAAAATAGTGACAGCGAATCATCAAACACACCTCCTGATGATATAGCAGAAAGCGCAAGAGTTTGAATCTTACCGGAGAAATCAAGGAAGAAATATGAATTACAATATGATACATTCATAAATTGGTGCCACTCCGAGATGGTGAATATGTATTCAGAAAACGTTTTACTGGCTTATTTTGGTAAAAAAATCAAAGACTGAAGTCATCAACTCATTGGTCTATATAATCGATGGTAGGTACGTATACATGCTTGGATGTTGAAGATAATATCGGAATCAATAAGTATCTGAAACTTATCGCATTTCTCAAGAAACAATCTATTGGATATAAAGCGAGAAAAATCCAAAACATTCACCGCTGAAGATATATACCAACAAATTTCTACAAGAAGTTCCCGATAAAGCATATCTGTTGAAAACGATGAATTATACTTTATATTTAAACTCTTTGTTGTCATCAGAAAGACAGTGTATCTTTATTTTATTGCATCAATGAGTAATGTTCAATTTGATTGCAGAGTTTATCGTACTATGGCTCAGAGGTCTGAAGCTCAGGTTGCCACGCTGGTGGTCCAGTTTCAATTCTCGGTAGGCCCGACATTTTTTTCTGGTTTCTCATTCACTTCAATTTTTCTTTTTTTGTTTCCTTTGGACATATGGAATAATCTGGATAAGAACTTTTTCAACTATTTCAATCGCTCATACTTTCACGGCAGTTATTTCCAAAAGCTGCGTTAGTTGAAAAAATCTTGTGTGTATTTCAAGCACAAAGTGTTATTGCCGCTCTCCAAAGATTACCGCGCTCCGCTCCGCATCGCGCGGTAACTTTCTTTGTCGAGCGGCAATCTATCACTTTGCGCTCTAAATACACAAATAGCTATTGTATTTCAAATAAGTCAATTCAATTTCGAAAAGTATCAAATGTTCATTATTCCAGATTTTTTGGGGGATTTTCTCTCCTCGTCTCTATTAAATAAAAATATTAATACTATTACAATATACCTGTAGTTAGGACGAATCAGATGAATTGCCCAAGAATGTCACTGCGTTTAAAGAATTTTTCTACTAGCGTGCGGAAAAGATCACCCCTCCGCACTCATGTCAGTGTTGAAAGAGTCACTTTCCCGCACTGAGTGCGGAAATAATATATTGTGCAACAAGTGGGAAAAGTTCAACTTTTCTCACGAGTGTGAAAGTTTGTGGCACGAGCCTGAAGGGCGAGTGATGCAAACACACGAGTCACATCTCGGTATAAACATCATATTATTTATTATGAATTGTTGGAATAATATTTGATGGAGAATGCGATTTCAATCAAAAGCTCTAATGAGAGCTACTCTGAAGAATTTAAAAAACTTCTTCTGACAGTTGTGCTATTCAAAGCTGAACAGCAGCCAAGTTTTGGTTGATTTTTGTTGATTCTCCATGGCAATGTATGTGGTGTTGCAAAGTGCCGTGGGAAAAAATATTTCTCATTGTATGAGCAATACATGGTTTTGAAACTAAGGAAGCTATGAGAAATGCGTTACTTTTCATAGCAGTAGTAGAAAATAGTTATTTACACTACAAGGGAGGCAAGTGATACTTACCAGTCGAGGACATTGTTTGCGCCCGAGCGATAGCGAGGGCTTGCAAAATAGTCCGAGACTGGTCAAGAACACTGCCTCCCGAGTTTTGTATTATATTTTTTCTACTCCAGTTCCCTTAGATTAAAAAAAATGTTTTTCAATTACTTATATAATTTGACTAATCTAACTGAAAAACCCTGTATGTATGACAGGTTTCCTAGTGTTACACGTTGATCGCTATGGAATTCATATTGTTTATAATCAAACAAATGTTCTGTCAGTGTCATTTTATTAAAAAAATCGAAATAATGGATATCGATGCAGTTGCGAATGCAGCTTGTGCTGCTCTATTACCTCAGAAATCGAAGGAACGGTACAATCGGTGTTACAAGGACTTCAAGGCTTGGTGCAGTAATATTGCAAGTGGTGAAAGCATTACCGAGAACTCTTTGCTGGCGTACTTTGTAGAGAAGTCACAGACCCTAAAGTCCCCTGCAAGTTTATGGAGTGAGTATTCGATGCTAAAATCGACGTTATCCATTCAAGACAATGTAGACATTTCCAAATTCCTTAAACTAAAGGCGTTTTTGAAGAGAAAAAATGATGGCTATAAGCCAAAAAAGTCTCAAGTTTTCACGCGAGAAGAAATAGAAAAATTTTTGACAGAAGCCGACGATAGAAGTTTTTTATTAATGAAGGTAGTGATGGTCGTCGGGATTGCTGGAGCATGCCGCTCACAAGAATTATGCGATCTGAGTGTAGAGAATGTCCAGGAAATGGAAAATTTAATTATAATCAATATACCTGATTCAAAAAATGGTACATCTAGAAGATTCACCATCACTGCAGACAAAGACAGTAAAATCTGCCATTTAAACATTTTTAAAAGATATCTCAAAATAAGATCGTTGGTTGAAAGATCCCAACAACGCTTTTTTTTGAGATACCAAGAAGGCAAATGCTTGAATCAGCCTGTGGGAAAGAACACTTTTTCAGCTATTCCCACAAAAATAGCAAAATTTCTCAGACTGCCTAACGCTGAAGCTTATACCGGCCATAGTAGTGATACAAAGCCGTTTGGTCGCCAGAGCTTCAATAAAATGCCGCTAGTTAGCGTTGGCGCTGGTGTCGCTGGTGTCGCTGGTGGCGCGAAGTTCAAATTTGCAGATGGCGGCGGCGCTGATGGCGGTAAATTTGAAATTGTGAGGTTATGACATCTTAATCATGATGAATTTTTAAATAAATAAATTAAAAAAAGCTGTCACCGCCGGTGGGGGAAATTGAACCAGGGACCTTTGCATTATGAGGCAGCGTATATACGCACTGCGGTATTCCGACCTCCGTGATATTTCAATTATTTAAATGCTATTCAAACGGGATATCCATTGCTGGCGCGCGCTTATCTTTGCAACGGATCCATCGAGGTAGAGTGAAGCGAGAGATGCATTCCAGAGATAAGAAACTTCGAGTCGAAAATAATATCCATCGCAGGCGCGCGCGCGCTTATCTTTGCAACGGATCTATCGAGGTAGAGAGTAAGGCGGCTCGAGCGCTCGGCGCTGCAACGTTGTCGGACGTATGTGTTTGGATGTTAATATTGTTACATTATTGTGTGTGGCAACGCTGTCTCGCTTCATGGCGTTCGAAGATCTAGCAAAGCGAGAGATCCCTTAGAATGATAAGCGCGCGCGCGCTCGTATTGGAAACAAATACTTGAATAATTAATTATTTATTTTTATAGTGGGTGACGCGTCATGCTGTTGTTTTTTTTCTTCTGGTAAAATGACATCACGTGACGTGTGTGTGGGTACTCTCTCAAAATAGGATTTTTTATGGACAATTCTCGGAAATGCCAATATACCTATATGCAAAGTCGCATGGTTTGAGGGATATCGTTCTACCATTGACATATGTCATTAATGGTACATATATGCGAAATGAAACTACTACTACTACTACGAGGAAAATTATTGTAAGATAATCAATTTTTATTTCACAGTAAAGCTTTTTTACAAAAATAGCATGATTCTTGAGAAGATGGCGGTCCATCCCAGTGAGTATTTAATGACAAAAACAAGATTGAATTTCCATATACAGGGCGTTTGAGTTGATTGATAATTGAAAAAAATATATACAGGGCGGTCCATGGGGGTGAAAGAATACGAAAACGAAGATAAATAATCTATTTATTTAAGTAATCCTTTTCTACAAAAATGACATGCCTCTTGAGAAGATGGCGGTCCATCCCAGTGTGTGGTCCAATCGGGACGATTATAATGAACGAAGCATGGCAGTTTGATTTGTAGGTTAAAGTTGCTGCGATATTCTTGAGGAAGTTTGTGCCACACCCTTAATAGCCCATAAGGATCTGCATATTCAATGAGACATTCTACTGGAATGTACTGCAATTCTTGTTCAGTGAATTTCGTCAGAGTCAAAGCGGGAGATTTTATAAACTCCAATAGCACAGCTATTTCAGACTTCATGATTTTTCGAGCAGAGCTAAAATATTTCAGATGCTACTAGTTTCGCGTCAAGTTGTAGACTGATGAAATAAATAAAAAACGAGTCACATTTTTCACAACATTTTATTCAAATCAGACATAACCTCATTTTTACAATAATATAGATATTCTCTGAGAGCGTTACTAGACATGCTATCACAAACATCACAAAATCCAGATATAAGCTCTTCCGCACCCAAATCAGTCAGGCTATTTCTAATCCAATCGGCTATAGTATTCAAAATGTTCTGATAATACATGGAAAAGTCCAATTTGTTTATTAGCGCAACTCTTCAGATGTCTTCAGAGGTATTCAGAGGTATTCAGAGGTCTTCAAGATCACGCCTTCAGAGGTATTCAGATGTCTTCAAAGGTATTCAGATGTCTTCAGAGGTATTCAGATGTCTTCAGAGGTATTCAAGAGTCTTGCATATCAGACACCATAGCGTTCACATCATGGAGCCACATTCATCAGAGCAAGCATTAGATAAACATCACTGTGCAGATTATGATAATGCTTATGGACCGAAATATGTTGACGGCAGATGGACACTTGGACATAAGAATCTACGCTTTGAGGACCAATACATAGGCGTAGATAATGTCGATTT